CTTTAAGACTAAGTGTGACTCTCATGGCAATATCGAACGTTACAAGGCCCGACTTGTTGCCAAAGGTTTTACTCAGAAAGACGGCATTGATTATAAGGAAACATTTTTACCTATTTCTAAGAAAGATTCCTTTAGAAGTATCATGGCATTAGTAGCTCATTATGATCTTGAGTTGCATCAAATGGATGTTAAAACTGCTTTTCTGAATGGAGATTTAGAGGAGGATGTTTATATGAATCAACCAGTGGGGTTTATTGAAGAAGGAAAGGAACATATGGTGTGTAAACTTAAGAAATCAATATATGGACTTAAACAAACTTCTCGACAATGGTATCTTAAGTTCAATGATATTATTTTGTCCTTTGGATTTAAGGAAAATACTGTTGATCGGTGTATATATCTGAAGGTCAGTGGGAGTAAGTTTATATTTCTGATTCTGTATGTTGATGATATCTTGCTTGCGACTAATGATCTTGGTCTATTAAGTGAGACTAAGAAGTTTCTCTCTAACAACTTTGAAATGAAAGATATGGGTGAGGCATACTATGTGATAGGAATAGAAATATTCCGTGATAGATCACAAGGACTGTTAGGTTTGTTTCAGAAAACATATATTAATAAAGTTTTAGAGAGATTCAGAATGGAGAATTGTTCTGCATCTCCCGTTCCAATACAGAAAGGAGACAAATTTAGTCTCATGCAATGTCCAAAGAATGACTTGGAACGGAAACAGATGGAAAATATCCCTTATGCATCTGTTGTTGGGAGTTTGATGTATGCTCAAACATGTACGAGGCCAGATATTAGCTTTGCAGTTGGTATGCTTGGTAGATACCAGAGTAATCCTAGACTGGATCATTGGAAGACTGCAAAGAAAGTTTTAAGATACTTACAAGGAACAAAGAATCACATGCTTACTTATAGGAAAGTTGATCACCTTGAGGTGATTGGATATACAGATTCAGATTTTGCTGGTTGTATGGATACACGAAAGTCTACATTTGGTTATGTGTATCTTTTAGCCGGAGGAGCGATTTCATGGAAAAGTGCGAAGCAGTCTGTCATTGCTGCATCCACCATGGAAGCTGAATTTGTGGCATGCTTTGAGGCCACAGTTCAAGCTAATTGGTTGCGGAATTTTATTTCAGGACTTGGAGTAGTCGACAGCATTGCCAAGCCGCTGAAAATTTATTGTGACAATTCCGCAGCAGTCTTCTTTTCTAAGAACGACAAGTATTCCAAACGTGCTAAGCATATGGAATTGAAATACTTTGCCGTTAAAGAAGAAGTTCAAAAACAAAGAGTGTCAATAGAACATATTAGCACTGATCTTATGATTGCTGATCCTTTAACAAAGGGATTACCGCCCAAGTTGTTTGCTGGCCATATAGTAAATATGGGCATTATGTTTACTAGTAGTGAATGTTGAATGTTAATGTTATTATTAATGTTATGAGACACTCTGAGATCTTTAACGTATAAGTTTCTGAAATTTGTGTTTTCTTCTTTATTTATATGCATGCAAATTATGATGAAGAAAACAAATTATGTTATTATTTTAAAATGATATTATGTTTGAACCCATTATGGACTTCTCATTATAAAGTCATATTAAGGAGAAAGAGATAATATAGTGGTACATGGAAGGGAGCCTGTCGATTGAATGACATGTAACCATGACTCTTGTTATAGCTGTATCTTTAATTATGAATAATGATAGAACCAATTTATGTAAGGTCCTTTAATGCGCATTATGACTTAAGTATTAAATCACAGAATCGTATGACATGAGTCAAGTGGGAGAATGTTAGAATTAATTTAATTAATTCATTCCATTATGTGACTCATATGAAATATAATGATAGGCCAAAATGTGATTTAATAAATTATAAGGACCTATTGGTTATTATATGAAGTCAGAATAAAATAAAGATAAAATAAAATATTAACTTACGTAACCAACTTGATGGAAGTTGGTTAATAAAAGGGATTAGGGTTCTGTCTCTGACCATAAGGTTTTTTCACGGTAAACCATCAAGAAAGCGAAGCGTGAGAAGAGAAAGAAAGACAAAGAGATAGATTGGGAAAAGGAGATTGGAGAACGAAAAGATCAAAGAAAAGATTCTCATGGATCAATGTTAGTCTTCTTACTATGATTCATGTGTTGATGTATGCAAAATGTGAAAATCAATAATCTAAAGATCCTGTAGAATAGTTTTCTATAATGAATAAAGAACGTAGGAAAACACTACAGAACAGTTTACAGAGTGATCTAAATTATATAAATCATAGTCGAAAAATTGAGATAGACGACCTCAGATTCTCCCTAACATCCAGCATCAACTATAAAGAATTGAAACAATCGATGTGAGACTCTCCTACTATCTATCCAATTTTAATCATCACTGGTATTAAGTTAAAATCTAATATGGTATTAAAATAACATATTATATTTCAATTTTGGTGATGGGCAAATTGTAGAGGGACATGGGAAAGAATCCTAAATAACCTACCTTAAATATGTTAAAACTCTAATAAAAATAATATTAAAGTAAAAAAAAGTTAGAATAATATAAATTGATTCAGACAATGCTTATAACAATAATTATTATAAAAAATAAAATATTAGTGAAGAATAAATTAGAAATAATCTGGTTTAGAGTACTTAGAAAGAAAATGTCTCCATTGTACAGGTAGATCGAAATAGTACGTGTTTTTCACTCTGTATACAATAATCTGTCAAATCAATCGAGTACTGTAAAGGGTCGTAGAATCTTGTGAACATTAAAGTATTTTGAAAATATATATACTTTCAAATAAATTTTATACGTATAAGTGATCTCCAGGAGAAACACCCCCGTTGCACGTAGAAGCGGCATTTAATGTGGATGAGAATTGGTCAAATCAAGTAAAAGACTTGTAATATATGAAAATTTTTAGAATTTTGATGTACTAGTATATATCTTTTTTATATAAAATATATTTTATAGGGGTATTTTCATCTTTTTATCTATATACTCGTATACTTATATATAAAATAAAAATATAACAAAATATTAATATTAATAATATCTTTGTCTTATCTATTTAAATTAAAATAATAATTTAATATATATTTTTATTTTAAATAATAATAAAAATATCTTAATATTTAATTTTAAATAAAAAAAATATTTTCAACCGACCCACACAAATAACATACGTAAAATTAAAATCGCTGTGCATGATACTAACAAAAATATCCAACTTAAATCCAAGTACATAGGAATAGGTTTAGGGTTTGACCATAAGTAGACTTTGAGTAATATATATAATATTAATAATAAAAATAAAACCAAATTATATATATATATATATATATATATATATAGAATTTATTTATTTTAAATTATACAAAGATATTTTCTATAAAAGCTTTTTCATTCAGAGAAATATTGAATCACATCAACGGTGCTTATAAGGTGGGATGTCACGGGTATGTCACATTTCTTATCTTAATTTTTTAAATATGACATAAATATGTTTACTTATCTTTATGATATTAAATTGAAATAATATTAAGTTGAAATATAAGGAGATGAATAACCAACAAAAGTTTGATGTCCACCAGTCTGACTCTTCTACTATTTCTAATAATAATAATAATAATAATAATAATAATAATAATAATAATAATAATAATAATAATAATAATAATAATAATAATAATAGGTGTTTTCTGGAATGTTAAATTGTGCTTAAACAATCAAGACAGACAAGAACATTGATATCATTTCGAAGTCCTATGTTCGCAGCATCATAGGAATCAATGCAGATAAGTCAAGGTGTTGTGTTGTTTCTACTTAAAAAAGAGCGACAAAATGCATACTTTTAATAAGCAAAATATCAACTAAGATAATCAAACCAACAAAGTTTAATTACCTTTTTTTCTTCAATATTCCCCCATTAAATAGGAACAAGCAGCTTCATACAATTACAATCATTAAATTTCCCTATATCTATCAACTGTTGTAAAATTAAAATTAGATGAACCAAAGTCAGTATGAAAATTTTGAAGTTTCTCCTTCAAATAAGGAATTTTGATGTTGGATGATTGTTTGAGCCCATACGACTTTTCACCTTTGTTTGCTACAACGATCTGTAGCCCTGGCACACTCTGATTGTGATACTATAGTATTGATGTTGGTCTCCATTGAAAACTCAAGGAACTAGTTTATATGGTAGATTGTGGCTATAGCAATTATACAGAAATTTAGAGCGAGAGGATATTCTAGTGTTGATGTTTGGATAATTGAATAAATATCTTTTAATTACTTTTTTCTGACTTGGTTTTCACAATAACCAAACATATATTTATTTATAGGATCACTTATAAAAGTAAAGAGCCATGATATTATTTACAAAATATTCCACCATACATTATTTAATGATGACAACATATTACACGACAAATTTGTATATTGTGAGAGGGAAGATGATGCTTTGCAAGGAGCTTTAGTCGCATTTTCTTTTTGTTTGGATGCATATGCCATTTGAAGGGTACCAATTATAATAGAATTCACACATGATCATGTGTTCAATTTTAGTTATTTTTTATGAATTTTTTTCATAACTAAAAAAGAAAATTGACAAGTAAGATATAAAATAGTTCTGAAAAATCAAATCACCCGTTATAGTTGTTCTTAGAATTTTTTTTTATTGACGCTAATTAACATTTAGTTCTTAAGTTAAAACCTATTAGTAGCTAATATATAAATATATGTTAACTCTGATTTGCTTCACACCAGAGATCGAAGTGTTTAAAACGTAACAGCTCACGAAGTAAGGAAAAGGAAAGAACAGGATGAAAAACAAATTAGGGTTTAGACAACCCCCCAAAACCATTACATTTATTACATAGATATGGCATTAGAGCTGTAGCTCTATATTATTTATGAGACTATAGAACAACATAACAACATAGTACATCATTTTGCTCAGTTGATATGAAATGCAGATAATTAATAACGGCGACCATAGTAGTTCCTTGTGGAGGCATCAAAACCACCCTTGATACTGCCCCCGTTACCATTACCGTTGAAAGTACCAGTATTATTAAGAACCTGTTCATCGTAGTGCGCTGAGAAGTCATACCTGCTACGGTCCCCAGCATGTTGGCCGCTGTTGATAGTTGCACCGCCGAAATCCTGGCGACCGGAGGCATGGTTGTTAAAGGAGTTTGAAGTACCATTGTTGGACCCTTTGGCTGCTTGCTCAGCCTGGATCATTTCCATGATTCTCTGCATCAAGTCTCCCATTCTGATCTTCCCTTTGCACCTTGCCTCTCTCAACTTTTCTTCTTGTTGAATTGCCTTAACGTTACCAACTAACTAAGCCAAATATATAGATGCAAGCAAAGGAATCCAATTCGTTTATGCAAAGTTATGGTGATATGATATTCTAGTAGACAACTTGGACTCATTTGGTTGGTAAGAGTTTCAGAAAATACCACTCCCATATCAAGTGGTTTTGATGCAATTCCACGAGCCATTCCTATCCCCAAAATAAATTGGCTCAACTAGATTATCTTAATATATGGAGAATATATTCATTATCAAGTGCTGCAAAGGGGCATCGATCTCAATAATTGCAAAGGAGAATATATCCATTTCGAATTGTAAGCGTTGCAATTTGTGTTCAGCATGTTTGTTTTACGGCCAGGTACGTAAACCGCATAACGTCATGCAGACGACAATGCAAAAATATTGAATGAAAAGTGTGTGTCGCTTGTATTACAAAGTCGTTCAATTCATTGAAATTTATCAGTTTTAGTGAGTCCCGCTTGTAAATTAGAGACAAAAGCAATTATGTATTTCATCTTCCCAACCATTCATTTCCGCTTGCTGTAAAAAAAAAAATAAATAAAAAAATAAATAAAAACTTTAGTAGTTAAGCTTCAAGAAACTATAAAAATATAATACTTCATGTTAGTGTGAGCAAAAGCTAGAAGAATATTTTGTGTTAAAGTTGGCATGGTTTGCTAGTGAAAATCCTGTCAGAAATAAGGGTTGCTACCAAGGTCAAAGGTGAACGAGTTTTAATTTTTTTTTTCAGTATATATCTTTCTTACTTGTTTTTCAGACTATGATTTTTTTTTCATAATTTATTTTTAATTGAAAAAATTAAAAAAATGAAAGTTAATTGAAAATAATTTCTACATAAACTAAAATATTTTCTATAATTTCTCTACATTTTCATGAAAAATAATAATCTTTTACTTTAAGAAGAACTTACGGAGAAAATCGTTGAAATATATAACTATATATATATATATATATATATATATATATATATAACTATATATATATATATATATATATATATATATATATATATATATATATATATAAACTCAAATTTGCATTAAAAGATGAAATGTTTGCGAAGAGTGATGATCTGACAAAGCAAAGAAAAAGACGACAAAACATAGAGCATGTTATTACAACATTTTGGGGTTTAGGTAACACCTGAAAACCATTATCTATTATAGACCATTAGCTCAACATTATTTATTGCTAGTACTACAAAAAAACATAGTACTATATATCAAGTTGCCTAGCATATATATCTCAACGTTCATGGTAGTGATAGCCGTTATGATAATTGAATGTGACACCGGTTTTCAGAACCTTTTCATCGTAGTGCTCTGGGTGGCTAAACCTTTTGTTAAGGTTGCAGCATATTGGCAGGCCACTGTTTCAAATCTTGTTCTGACATGGTCTTTGTAGAGAAGAAAGATAACACCAATAAAATATTACGTGAGATCTAAACTCACTTGAATTTCCCAGTTAAACAATTCTTGTTCTTTCTTATTGCCTTAGCTTTAGGTACTAGATAAGCCTAATAGATGCTAGCAAAGGAATCAATGTTTTCTAATTTGCCCCTTCATGCAAAGTTATGGTAAAATGCTTTTGATGTTCCCACCAGCCATTCACGTCCGCACAAATTGTGCATCAACTACAGGACTTTCCTGTGGAAAGTATATCAATATTAAGGTGCTCTGAAAAGGACCATTGCAATTTATACGATTTATAGAAACACTGCTTGGTGGAATTCAATGTTCACGTAATGTATACTTTTCATCTCCTTCTCAACTACATTTATTTCAATCTACAACAGTCAAATTCAAAACATTACTTAAGAATTTCTAACTCAACTCATATCAAAATTACAGTTGATTCATCATTTATAATGTTTAACATACTTTTCTAAACACAACCGTTTTTTTTATTATTCAAATATGTCATAAATAATGGTATTTTAGATTTTCATTTTATAATTTAAACTATTACGGTTTGAATAAATTTTTAGTCTTTATAAATTAATAATTTAGTTTTGATCCGTATAATTATTTTTATTATTTTTCACTCTTGTAAAATTAAAAATAATTGTTTTTAACCTTTATAAAATGTGTTAAATTTGGTTTTATTTTCTTTAAAATACTTTTTATTTTCATTTTTTTAAATTCCAATCACTATCTTTAGTTCATAATATATATTCATTCTAAAATAGATAAAGAATATTTATTTTTCGAATCTTAAGAATTTTTCTGAGGTATCACATATTACTATTCTATCATACCACTAGTACACGTAGCATGGGAATGATCACTTAACCTTTTTATTCATTACATAATCAGTTAACTAATGTCATTTAATATTCGGATCAAAATAAATAACTTTTAATTTTATAAATACGAAGATAAAAAAATCATAGGAATTAAAAACATGTTTATATATATATATATATATATATATATATATATATATAATTTTTATATAAAATGAAAAATCGTAATAAATAAATAAATATTTTTAACAGCAATGTATGTTGTGATATGTTGCTGTTTTTAATTACTTATAAAATATTGAAATTCAAGCTTTAAAGATGTTAAAAATGATATTGATTGAAAGGAATAATATTTAAGTTTATTTTGTTCTTGCCCAATAAACCTTTTCTTTCATCATCCCCAAGAAACCTTATTGTTTTTTGCCTCAGTCATCAATAAGATTACAAAGGTATTTTTTAGAAAAGAAAAAAAAAAAAGTTAAGAAGGCTTGCTACCTAGTTTGGCAAGTGGTGTGATCCATTTGGTCACTGGGTATTTTTCAACAAACAAGCTTGGTCTTTTTGTTGTTTTGGTGGATTTAATTAAGCTTTATTTTTGTCTTGCTTAAAATATATTGTTGGCAAAAGTATTGGGATTAGATACCATATTAACATTTATTAGTTGGTTTTGTTTGTTATTAACTAATTCTGTTATATATATTTGCTCTAATATTCCTTTTCTCATATGCCTTTGTAATAATTTTTCATGTACTGTCTTTTTTTATAAATGATGGAAGAAGTTTCTTTCCCAGAATAGAGTTCTGTTTTTTACCAAAGTTCTATGAAAAAGTCTGTTATCTTTTTCATATTAGTGCATCGAATCTATATAACTCTCGTCATGACTTTGCTCTTTTACCCTGGGTTGATGCCTTAGTGCTAGTCATCATGGAAGGTGAAGAAAAACACTCACGGGTTGTGGCATTACTTCTCTGTTGTGCATCATGGTGATTGTTTGGATTTTTCTGTCTTGTGTATGGATATCAAAGTTGAAGAGTTCTTCTGTTTTGTTTTGTATTAGACTTTTTATTCCATATTATCTATTTCATATTATTCTCTCTCCTGTTATGATCTTTGTTTTTGCTTATTGAATTGCCTTTACTTTCCGTACCAGATAAGCCTAATTTATATATAGATGCAAGCAAAGGAATCCTATGCTTTGTTGTTTTCCTCGCTTATGCAAATTTATGCTAAAATGGTTTTGATGCAGGCACTAGTCATTCATGTCCTCACAAATTGTGCCTCATCTAGAGGACTTTATTGTGGAGAATATATCCATAGCAAGGTGTTGCAAAGGAGCATTTCAATTTTTTATCAGCTTGTTTGCGTTAAAGACTGAGATAACATCGCATGACGTTATTGAAGTAACGAACATCCACTAATGCAGTGGACCACACAAAAGCTAACTAGCTTTAATCTGAATATATGCAATTATAATTCTATTAAAATCTTTCTATTTCCAATTTCAGTGAGTGATTTAATTTATGGAAATACTGTTTGGTGGAATTCCTTGTTCAGTTTTTGTATACCTTTCATCTTCCTTCTTAACTACATTTAGTTTAACAACAATAACAGTCAAATTCAAAACATGAATAACTTCCAACTCAACTCCATTCATATCAATTACTGTTGATTCTTTTTTTATAACGTTTAACATAACTTCTATAAACACAAATAATTTTTTCTTATTCAAATCTATTATAATCACTAGTATTTTAGTTTGTCATTTAGAGAATAAGTTGTTATTGTTTAAATAAGTTTCTGGTCTCTATAAAAATAGTAATTTTAGTTTCGATCCATATAATATATTTTTTTGACTCTTATTGTTATCCTAGAATAGGATCGGGTACAAGCATATTTTTATGTACTTTATAGTTTACAAGGTTTAATGTTGTTCAATCTCGCTTGCAATATTTTCTTATAATTCTTGTTATTATAAATAAATATATTTGATATAACTATAATTGTGGTTGCTATTACAATTTTATATGAATGTATCATTGAATTATTTAATACTTATATAGTTTAAGTGTTGATTGCCAATGTGTTTTGAGGATATAGATTTTTTTTTCAAAAGCAAATCTCCATAAATTTATGGATAATACTTTTGTCATATATGCGACTATATGTGCTTTGCTTTTTCTTCCTTTATATGCTTATTAATTGTAGAATATGATTTATGATTTTTGGACTCAGAAAGATGAAAATCTTTTGATGTACTTTGTCAATTGAAAAGCAATACTGAGAGTGTTAAAGGGAACTGTTACAATATTTGATAATATTATTGGATTTGATTGAGTTTTCATTATCTAATATTATATTGATATCATAAGTCAATGAAGTTAATTATGACAATTATTAGGATGACTGTCTTTTGGCATTGATATGTTTCGTGTATGATAGCTAATATTTAAAACTCAATTAAATTAATAATATTTGTAACAATAATTTTAAAGTTATTAATGATGAGTTTTTTTTTAAGTATACGATATTAAAGAAGTGTTCCAAACCATATTCATTTAAATGAATTTGGGATAAATTGATGTGAATATGACCTATGATAAGGACTAAAACAAGAAAAATAAAGAAAACCCTTTAACAAGTATATTGTTGGTTCATCAAATTATGTTTTTGATTAATCAATTAATGGACTTTAGTTTGGTTTATTACAAGTTGTAATAAGGGTCCAATTTAAAATTTAGTTATCAGTCTTTGGGAGACCAAGATGGTGTATAGCTGATTGACTTTTGGATGTCACAATTTTCAGTTATAATAAATTATTAAGTAGTTTTCAATTCCTAGGTTAATGAATCATTATTAATATTTATTTTTCTTTATTAAATCTTTGTAATTTTGATGACAAAACTTCTATATAGGCTGAACCATTTTTATCAAAAATAACAAGTGAAATTTTATTCAGAACTATTAGAGTTTATCTCTTTTATCTTAGTGAGAGTGATTCTCCTAAATTCTTGAGTGATTCAAGAACCCTTGGCTGTATCAAAGGACTATCACATCCTTTGTGAGTTGCCTTTCTTGGAAAGAGTGATTCTTTCCTTCCACCTTATAACTAAATTCTTAAATTTCTTACAAAGTTCTAACCCTAAAGATCTTAAATCATCCCTTGTGATTCATATCATAGATACTCTTATAAATAAATTTGGCTTTTCTAAATTATCATATATAACATATTTCTTTTATCTTTTTTGATATCTATATATATATTTTTTAGATAATTAAAGAATAGATAATTTATTTTAGGTAGATTCCTTTATCTATGTATCTATATTTAGAGATAGATATATACATAAATAATGAATTTTTCATCTATTTGTTTCTTTTTTTTTTACGATAAAAAAATTTTAATTTCTATAATTTTTGAATGGTTTAATTAGTTGGTTAAAAGACCTTAAAAAAACAAATGATCAATATGAAAAATAATAATTTTTTTTGTTTAATTTTGCTTATGTAATTTCAAGGCTGAATATAATATTATTATATTATATTAATATCAAGTTGTAAATCTGGTAGATTTTGTTCTTAAGTTAATTTTAATTGTAAATCTTTTATTTTTATTATATATTTTGAGTAATTTCAATAAATTTATTGGTTTAAAGAGAGATTTTATATTTATTAAAAAGAGATGGGTGCATTAAAAGATATAAAATAATGATAATAACGGGGTTTAAACCTTAAGAAAGAACATTGAAAATCTAATTTTACGGGAGTTAAACCCTAACGAAATTCTAAAGTGCTGGGAGGTAACAAAGATTCTTAACTCTTAACTAAGATTTAAAAACTAACGAAATTCTAAAGTGCTGGGAGGTAACAAAGATTCTTAACTCTTAACTAAGATTTAAAAACCACCGATGAATTCTGACTTCCCAAATGTTTAATCAAAACTATCAGTAACGCTGGTAACACATTCAATGGGATTAAGATCATGGCAAACAAAAAAATTATCTGTTAAATGCAACTTCTTTAGTGTAAATTATCTTTTGGACATGTTTTCCACCAAAAATTGCTTTTTCTAAAACACTTTTTTTTTCATCATCCTCAAGAATTGTTTTTGCCTCAGTCATCAATAAGATTGCAATCATTTGTTCTTGTCATGTTCATTAGCTTCTCTGGTTTGGTATCATAGATATGCTTGGACAGGTTTTACACAGTTCTACCCTTATCTGGAGAAGCTCATTTTTTTTTCACGTGGAAGTATTTTAAAAGGAACAAAAAGGTTAAGAAGACTTGGTGTCTAGTAAGGCATATGCAGTGGTGTGATTCATTTGGTCACTGGGACTCAGTTATTTTTCAACAGCAAGCTTTGTCTTTTATTTGTTTAGTAGATTTAATTAAGATCCATTCTTGGTCTAGGTTAAAATATACTGTTGGCAAAAATCTGTTATCTTTTTCATATGGTACATCAAATCTATATGACTGTTCCTCTCAATCTCATCATGACGTTGCTCTTTACCCTCGGTTGATGCCTTGATGTTAGTAGTTATGAAAGATGAAGAAAAAGTTGAGGCATTACTTCTCTGTTTTGCATCATGATGGTTGTTTGGAATTTTCTGTCTTGTGTAAGGATATCAAAGTTGAAGAGATCTTCTGTTTTGTTTTGTATTAGACTTTTGAAACTGGAGTTGACACATGTCTTAGTTTTGATTCTTTTATTAGATTTCAAATAGGTCCGTAATAACAACAGAAAACAAAATTTATAGATCACAGAAGAAAATTAAAAGAAAGAAACACAAGAACTTAAGTAAAAGGAGATTTATTTATTTATTACAAGAGTACAGATTTCTTGATCTCCATCGTGGGATTCAGATTTATAACGCTTAGAAATCAGTATATTTATTATTATTACATAATATATATCAGCTACAGCTCTACCTTTATTGTCCTGATAATATATATATATCAGCTAGAGCATTCATGAAACACAGACACTTAAGCGTAGAAGTTGGAGGTGGTGGAGTTGAAGCCACCCTGGATGGAGCCACCATTGCCATTACCATTGAATATGCCACTGTTATTTAAAGTGTTACCACCATAGTGTTGAGAGGAATCATACCAGTTGCGATCGCCTGCATAGGCACCACTGTTGATCTTTGAATTGGAGAAATTCTGGTGGCCGGAGCCATGGTTGTTGAATGAGTCTGAAGTACCATTATTTTGGGCTGCTAGATCAGCCTCCATCATTCCACTTATGTTCCTCCAACGGTATGCCATTCTGCTTTTACTGCTAAATTGCTGTGTCTTGTTGTTTTTGGTACTGAGTGTGGCCTTGATAACTCCAACAAACTAAGCCCAATAAATACATGAAACGAAGGAATCCGATACTTATCTTGTTAGTTGATGAAGACTTTCGAAATTAAGAATTTGAATACAAAGGAAGATAAGAGATAATGACAACACCAGGAATATGAAGCCTGTAGAGAAAATATAAAAGAACTATACTAGGAAAAGACTGTTGAAAGAAGATTAAAGAATTTTACGAGAAAATTGTGATGCAAAATATTATTATTGTAATATTCTACAAGTTCTTACATTCTAATGTGAATGGTTTTGTTTGTGGTAGTTTTGGTGAAACCGATTGTATTAGTTTTTTTTTTTTCAATAATGATAATTTTTTGGAAGATTTTGTTTTATATTGAGATCACATATGTTTTTCAAAGTTAACTTGTTATTATTATGTTAACTATTTAGGAGACTAATAATAAGATATGATATCTGATTTCATGTCTTATTATTAGTGATTAAAGATACTTATTTGGTTTCGTAAGAAATTAGATTAGAGATGGTTAAAATATTGTCACTATATTTTTTTTCTGAGATTTATTATATTTCACTTATGGAGAATTCAACGGTCCAAATAATTTTCTTCTGAGATATTGTATAATTTATTGTTTAAAAAAATAGACATGATTTAGTAAATATTGGTTCATTTAGTACAGTTTGTTAAATTCTGGTCAATTTCATAAAACTTTTATTTATTTCGTTTATTTATTAGTTTTTTTAGCGTGTATATATAAAAACCAAAGATGATGACAGAGTGGAATGAGTACAATTTTATATAAAGAAACTTCGTAAAATAATGAGTGAAGTTGTATAAATATAAGACAAAAGTTAACAATTATATTTCCTCCTTCCCACAATTAGTCTTTTAGAAAATTCAAATTAACTGTTATTCTCATCTTCAATAAATAATAATTATTTTATATCTAATTCTCCTGTGAATAACTTATAATATATATGTTTATGTTAATATATATATATATATATATATATATATATATATATATATATATTAATGAAATATGATTATTTTAGTAAAATTATTTTCATGAATAATATATTAATTAGTGTTGTTTTTAATATACGTGTAAAATTTCTGATATGAATTTTTTTAGAGATAATAAAATGGATTAATTTTGATATCACTTATCTCTAACCCGTAAAAAATAGAATAAGAAGGGCTGATTCACTATAATTAATTAAGACGAATTATAAATTTTGTTCTGTCAAAGAGCGTATTAACGTATCTGTCAATATTTTTTTATATTTTTTTAAAAATATATTTTTAATTATAGGAATAACTTTTAAATTTTTTATTTATTAATTAATATTTTTATTATATAAATTTAAAACATATTATATTTATATATCATAATAATTAATTATAAGTAATTATTTTTTATAATTTAAATTATAATATTATAATATATTTATATATTTTAATAACATAATATAAAAAATATATTTTTTTAATTATAATTATTTTATTTTTAATATATAAATATTTTTTTTAACTTTATTTTACTTTTGACTCATGAAGTTAGTAGACTAATGAAACATAAAAACAAGATAACGAACTAAAATCATCCACCACTTCGTCGTCTTTTAGACTAACGAATAGATTTACTGACCTGCTAACCCATTTTTCGATCTTAATTCTTTTACAATTTTCAATAATTTCTAATACAAAAAAAGTATTTTTTAATTCTTTGCCTATGCTTTTATAAAATCTATTCCTTAACAAGCTTCTAAAGATAAACAAAGTCCTACACACGTGTCATGGTTCTAACAAATTTCAGTATTATAATAATAAGAAATATTTAAAATTAATTAATGTGGTCGGTAGAGTTTTGGAGCACATATCCATGTATTCAGCAACTAACAACCGATACTTATCCGCAGAACTCGTGCTTTAACCAAGTGTTAGAAAATAAATAAGTTTGACTAAGGATTCACTACTACAAATATATTTTTTATGTCATCGTCATTTATAGCTAAGACGACGTAAAAAGTATTTTCTATGTCGATACGTTGAAATTAAACACATTTTATGTCGGTTTTTAATCAATCGATATAGAAAGTACTTTCTACATCAATTCTCATATGAACCGACATGGAAAGTCTTTTTTATTTTATTTTTTTTACCCAAAAATTCACTTAAATTTAAATTTTGTTATTGACAAGATTCGAACTCAAGATTTTAGAATTGAAAATTATTACTCTAACCACTAAATTATTATAATTTTCTGATAATAATTTTCAAATAAATTATATTTATATACAAATAAATATATATCTATGTAAATATATATTTATTTATATATATTTTCTGGAAAGTATTTTTATTTTTTTCAGCCAAAAATTCACTTAAGTTAATGAATTGTCACTGACAAAGCATTTGAACCGAGTGTTTTAGAAGTGAAAATTAATATCTCAACCACTAAACTACTACAATTTTTTGATAATAACTTACAAATAAATTATATTGGTATTTTTCGATCGAGGTGAAAGTGAGATTGACTCTTGCTTAAGTGAAAATATGTTAAAACTTATGGAAATTCACTCACTCAAGCCTCGTTTGAGCGAAAATTGGTATTTTTCGCTTGAGAGCGAATGACGCGTTTCCCAAATTTATTTTATATCATTATATAAATAAAATTATAAAGATTATATTCTGTCATTAAATTACAAACTCATATAAAGATACATGCTCATAAATTTAACATCAAATTTTGAAAACTCACTCGACACACACTTTCACTTTCGAGTGTGCCCTCACATCCAACATATAAATATATAACTATATAAATATATCAAAATATATAAATATATTTGTATTTATATATTTACACGGATATATATTTATTTGTATATAAATATAATTTATTTGTAAGTTATTATCGAGAAAATTTTAGTAGTTTAGTGATTGGAGTATCACTTTCCAACTCTTAAGTATTGGGTTCAAATCCTGTCAATGACAATTCTCTTAAAAAATTAATAAACTTTTAAAAAATATAAAGAGAAGGGAGACTTCTAGATAAATAAAAGAGATAAAGGGGTTGTAAATAAATAAAAATTATTAATTTAAACCGACGTTCAAAGTTTTATTTGTAGTAGTGATTCTTGATAATTAATTTTAAAAAATAAAAATAGATAAACTTACATAATTTTATATTACCCCTCTCAATTTCTAAGAAAAGAAAACCCACTTAACAAGTATTTCCTATCGAGATAAGGTGTGATTTGGAACATGTTATGTAATGCTTTCTTAGGTTGTACCGGTTAAGTAAGTAGCATTACGTGGCATGTTAAAAGTTTATTTATATATGTCACTAAAACACATTCAAAACTTTGGGCAAATTGAGTGCTTTTTCCTCGTTTCAACATTTTTAATAAGCATGATATTAGTATTTAGATATTATTTAAGGATTCTTTATTTATTATTTTTATAAGGTGTACTTTCTTTTTAATAGTCTTGATTTATTGGAAATATAATAGTATTATATTTTAAAAATATATTCTATTTATCTTTTCATGATATTTATTGTGAGTATAATTACATTTCTTTCATAATTTTAGATTAAATATTTAAATATTATTTATTTTTCTTTTTATGATGCATTATTTCAATTATAAAGGATATAAATGTCTGTGTATTATCATCACCCTCTTGTTTATTTCTTTGATTAAAATTGTTAACTAAGTATCTTGCTGACGTGAGTATATGGTGAAATAAAAAGTTATCAATGAACAAAAGATAGCGTATTATTCACATAATGCACTATTCAAACCAATATCTAATAATTAATATTATTATTGTATTATTCGCATATAAACTGATACGATATGTGTTTGAAAAGGATTGAAGAATCAAATGCCCAAGAAGAGAAAGAACTGATAGCAAGAATCACATACACATACATGTGGCAACGATTGAAGAATCAAATGGACTAAGATTTCAAAGATTGATAATAGGATTTGACAAGAAAGAAAAATATAGAAGGGCTCGTGGATTCTCTACGTCGATCAGAATAAATAAATTGGATGTAGTGGGAATAAAACAAAATAAAAAGGACATAACAGAGGAAAGGAAACCAACACTACTACAAAATATACTTTTTACGTCGTCATTTAACGTCGGTTATAGTTGAGACGACGTAGAAAGTACTTTCCACGTCGATTCTAGATGAGCCGAGCGTTGAAAGTTGAATAGTAAACATATTCTACGTCGGTTAACCGACGTAGAAAGTACTTTTACGTCGGTTCCGTATGTAGCCAGAGCGTGGAAAGTCTTTTTTTTTTTTTCACCCAAAAATTCACTTAAATTTAAAAATTGTCACTCGCTAGGATTGAACACAATACTTTAGAATTGGAGGCCGATACTCCAACCACTAAACTACTGGAATTTTTTGATAATAACTTACAAATAAATTATATTTATATACAAATAAATATATATCCATGTAAATATATATTTATTTGTATATATTTTTTGGAAAGTATTTTTATTTTTTTTTCAACCAAAAATTCACTTAAGTTAATGAATTGTCATTGATAACATTTGAACCCGATATTTTAGGGTTGTAAGTTAATATCCCAACCACTAAACTACTATAATTTTTTTATAATAACTTACAAATAAATTATATTGGTATTTTTTGACCAAGGGTGAAAGTGTGATTGACTCTCGCTTGAGTGAAAATATGTTAAAGCTCACGGAAATTCACTCACTCAAGTCTCGCTTGAGCGAAAATTGGTATTTTTCGCTCGAGAGCGAATAATGCGTTTCCCAAATTTATTTTATATTATTATATAAATAAAATTATAAAGATTATATTATGTCATTAAATTACAAACTCATATAATGATACCTGCTCACAAATTTAGCATCAAATTTTGAAAACCTACTCGACACACACTTTCACTTTCGAGTG